TGAGGGGCCAGCACCACGCCCGGCCACCTTTGTCTCCCCAGCGGCGGTGTTTACTACACACCGCACCCAGGTACTCATTTGATTCTGAGTCGACCTAGGGGAGGCCCAGGACCGGTTCAGATAATCGTCACCGGTGTCGGCCGTGAGCGGGACTCGAACTCGGGTCGCCAGGTTCGTAGGGCAGCGTAGCGCTAACCGCCAAACCACCGCTCCCCCACACAAAGTCACGCGCACATGCGCACGCACGCACACGCACGCATGCACAAAACTAAGCAAGCGACACAACGGAGGGGGGTTAGATGGGGGTTGGGGGGTGTAAAATATCTGCTAAAGCTGTACGAGCCGTGGCAAGTGGGACGTGCTCGTTGGGTGTAATAATCGGGACAAGCCATGCTCACTGGACAAGCCATGCGGCGGGGGTGACGTGACAAATAGTTCCTGTATAAATCATAATAATGATGATGATGGGAGAGACTTTGACTTTTAAATAACATTTATTGCCGCCAGCAGCAACAGCTATGGAGGCGATTCCGATATGAAAATACACAAAGTCACCAGCAACACAAATCAAACAAACGCTATAAATCCACGCGCTAAATGCACCGCGCACAACACGAAATAAAAGCCACGTGGTGGTGGTGATGGTGGTGGTGATCATCGCGCACGCCACGGTGACGAGCGAGCGCTTCAGAAGGTGAACACGTGGAGGGTGCCGTCCACGCTGGTACAGAGAGGGGCTTGTCCGGCTCCCCAGCGTCGGAAGAAGACGCGCTACACATCACCGACACGTGTGTGTGGTATGGGAAGGAGGAGAAATAAAACAAAAACGCAACGTGCTGGGGATTAGCGAGCCTCGTGCGCCGTGATGCCATTACGATCGATGCTCCTTCCAGATCCCCAGCTCGCGGCATCAACGATGTTGGGTTTCCCGCAAAGAGCGCCGGGGTTTTTGGCATTTTCACTTCGTCGTCGTCGTTTGGTGTCAATCTCAGAAGTCGTCGTCGTCACCATCGCAGCAGCTCACGTTTACCTCGCCACTTTAGCGAGGTGTTAACTACCTCGCCTGGAGGTCGGAGGTGCCATTCCCGACCCTGACGCCTGCTGTATATCTAGAGTTTGCGTGTCTCTCTCTCTGTCTCTGTCTCTTCCCCTCTCTCTTCGCGTGGTCGCGTGGGTTGTTCCTGCGGGTCCTCCCGGTGTTTCCCTCCACGTTTAGAGTCGACGTCGACGCGTCCGGAATATTTGGCCGCCGTAAATGTACACGCGGTGACGATGAACCCACTTCGGTTTGTGACGGTCAGGGTCGCTTCTCAAAAAAGAGCTGAGCAGCTCAGTGGGCCTTACACACGGTAAAATAAATAAGTAATATATATTTTTAAAAAACTTTTTTTTAAAACACGCTTTAATGAAATGTACCGGTACGAGTAATGGCAGAACTCCACGACTCCAGGAAGTGGCCCCGAAGCTTGCCACGACGTAAGGGGGACCGTGGCCAATCACAGCCAACGTCAGTTGAGCGTGGACAATTAGAGCCAAGCCGAGACATAACATATAAAAAATGATGTTTAAATATTTTTTATTTATTTTGTTATGATAGAAAATAGTATTGTCATCAGTATGACATAAGTATACCAAGTTTGCAGTCGATACCACATTGGGAAGTGGGTTAAAATTGAGTTACAAGATTTGAGGATACAACAACAACAGAGTTAATAAAAAGCGTGTAATAATAATAAAAAATGTGTAAAAAATTAAAAAATAGTTTCATTTAGTCTATACTGTACATCTATATGGGTCTCTATGTATCTATAGAGAAATGCTCTGATATTATGTGATGCATTGCCTTTGAAACTGATTGGTGTCTCTGATGTGAACCAATCAGTTTCAAAGACAATGCATCATCATAGACAACCAGAGGAGCATGTTTTATTTTGATTTAAAGCTTTCGTGACTGCAGTAATTCATATTCTTAGCTCTTTCGGTAAAGTCACGTTGAAGGGAAACAATAAAATATATATAAAACAATAAAAAATCTCACGACGTTTCGACCATAACACGTCGTGAGAATTTATATTGTTTTATATATTTTATTATTTTATTGTTTCCCTTCAACGTGACTTTACCGAAAGAGCTAAGAATATGAGCATGTTTTATGTTTGCATGTTCACCACAAGTGCGTGTGTGGTGAACGCAGAGATGATTCCTTGCAAAAGGTTTCAGTTTGGCGTTTTAACATCTTAACACAACTATTTTTTTTGCCAGAAATGGTCAAAACTATTGTTACGTAACATTCTTACCCGCTCCCTACTGGGACATCCGTAAGAAACGGAGCTTGGCAGCCCAGCGGATTCCTCTGGTCTCTGAATACATATTCTGATTCTGCATCCACTCCCTCCGCGCTGCCTCACGGCTTCCCTCCGGCCTCTCCTGGTCTTACTCCCCTAGCAACAACATATCTGTTAGACCGACGTTTCGTTGACAACGGGACCACGTTTCGCAGGTATAGGGTCGAACACCAACAACAACAAAAGTATGACTTCCCAAGCTCCGTCGACTTCGAGTTCTAGCGCCGCATGGCACTTCATGGAATAAAAAAAAAATTGTGAACATTGAGCGGTCTGGTTATCAATGGATACTTGGCGACACGGCCGCCTTTTCGCCAACGGGGGTGGTGGGTGCTTGGGACAAAGTTTCCCACCCTCTCCTCGCAAACTCAACGCCGAGTTACGCCGTTCATAATTCGGAGCTGCGCGCCGAATAGTGCTTGGGTTTAACATTAGTGGCTGCACGGTGGTTACGGTCCGTATATGTGCAGAACGTTTCACTTTTTTGGATAAGGGGATAGGCGGAGTTGGACTTCTTCTATATTTGGAAGGGTGGGGGGGGGGGGGCAAGGGGTTCGTGTGCCGCCTCCCAACCATGAGAGGAACCGGAGAAAAATCCACGCGACCACGGGGAGAGAGACACGCAAACTCCAAATATACAGCAGCAGGCGTCAGTGTCGGGATGGGAACCCACGACCTCCTGCATACCAGGCGAGGTAGTTAACATCTCCTAGCCACCTTGATGATGATGAGAGAGAGACACGCAAACTCGAAACGTACAGCAGGCGTCAGGGTCGGGATGGGAACCCACGACATCCTGCATACCAGGCGAGGTAGTTAACATCCCTTAGCCACCGTGGCATCAGGGTCGGGATCGAACCCACGACTTCCTGCACACCAGGCGAGGCAGTTAACACCTCGCCACCTTGGCGCCCGGTTTCCAGTGAAGGGAGCATGAAGGGTAAAAGGAAGGAGATAGCGAGAGGGCGAGAGGGTAGAGAGAGAGAGAGCGAGAGTAGGGATTGTCGCATCTGAGCAGCATAGCTGGTAATAAAAAACACTCAAGATTGGTTAAAATATATATCGCTGGCGGTTCGCATCGCCTGTGGATGTAATAACAAGGCCCTGGGTAATGGAGCTGTAGAGTGGTGCCGGTTTAATGGGGCCTCTATGTCTCGCTGGACGTGTGGAATAACGGAATGAATAAAATCATCAGCCGCAGATGACCGCCGAGATGTTTGCCATTCCCTTCTCCTCCGCTAAACACCACCCCTCGCACTCTCCGACCAAATTAAATGCACGGAGGGTACAAGCGGAAATACTTTGCGATTTAAAAATTCCGAGGTCCGTTTGGTTTAATTCTCCATTAAATATGGACTCGCGTTACTAACCGATCGAAAATCTGCTGCGTTTGTACGTATCATTCGGGCCTTTTTTTACTGTATTCAGCAGTTACATAATAGGCCGATGTTTCAGGCAATGGACCTTCTTCAGAGATATCACTTGACATCGTAAGGGTCCTGAGAAAAGTGGGGCATTTTTTTTTTACAGTTTTTGACATGACGGTAACGTTTTTTGTTGCTGTTGAGTGTAACGTAAAAATTGTAATTATATTCCAATTATAAACTCTTCATTCGTCAGCTTTCTCCATGTCACCATGCTCCACCTCTCCAATCTGTAGAAGGGCAATAGCTTGCTGAAATATCAGCCAACTATTTGTGTTTTTTTAATCTCTAATATGACCGTCTTAATTGTGGAAGGACCGCAGTGATTTAATTTTGTCATCTAAAGAAAATCTTTATTGATTTATAGTGCAGTAAGATGCTGCTGTGGTGTATAATCATTAGCATGCTGGACTTGAAATCCAAGGGATCAACACCGCTTTATTCCCCTGGCATCACAGTTGAAACAATGGTGCAATTTTCTTCAAGCCCTTTCTGCCTCTGTCCACCCAGCAGTATAATAAATGCCACAAATGAAGCACAACACCTTACTGATATTGTCAAGGAGCGTAAACCATCACGCAACTATGGTCATCCTCGCAGCAGCGGTTTTTGGCTAACCATCAAACAAAGACGGTCACTGCATCTCGCGCTCTCAGATGCGCTTCTGCGGCCGTCTGGAACGCTCTTCCTTCCGATATTAGGAAACCACTGAAGCTAAGCACTTTTAAATCATCTCGATTGAAAACGAATTCCCTTAGAACTGCTTTTCGTGTTCAGTTTGTTGTCCTTTCCCCACGCCATCCAATTATCACGGTTGCCTACGTACGGTTTGAAAGAAGTTCAACATACGTACGTTAGTTGATATGCAGGTCACGTTTGGTGGGACACATTGTATTCCAAGACGTGTGGCTAGCGTGGAAGAACAGGCCAAGAATACCCCTCTAGTGGAGGGCCTTCCGCCAGCAGTGGTGTGAGCGAGCAAGTGCAGGCCTGTACCTTTACCTTAAAGGGGCAGTGTTGAATTGAAGCGTTTTTGTAACACTGAAATACAACGAATACTTTGACTCATTGCTGTGTTGTGCCGTGACCGCGTCGTGCGCGGTGACCTTCCCTGGACATCTGTGAAAAAAATGCGCCACGGCTCATCGGATCCCTCCATGTCCAAATCAAGAAATTCTGACCGACTCTGACACGGCCTCTGACCCGCCCGTCTCGCGCCGCATGTTTGCAGAAATACCGCTATCAGGATGAGGACCACACGCCCCCCGAGAACAGCCCCCCGCACTCCGGCAGCGAGATGAAGAGCCCCCCGGAGCTGGTGCACGTGGCGGAGAAGAGCCTCTCGCAAGTGGAGAACGTCCACGGATACGTGGCCCTCACGCAGCTCTCCCCCATGAAGGTAATCATCTAGGCCTCGGGCCTGCGTCTAGGCCTCGGGCCTGCGTCTAGGCCTCGGGCCTGGGTCGAGGCGTCGAGCCTCACGAAGGCGCGTGCCCCGGACGTAAGCCATTAACGCCAAACCTGACAGCCAAGCCTCTAACCATCGCACAGGCCTACCTAAATCTATAACCGTAATGCCTCAACAAAACCCCAAATCTATAAACCTCACTCAGATCTCTTACGTGAAGTTGGGCATCCTGGACCAAACCCCCCTAAGCCTAGCCCAGATCTTGGCCATCATTTCAACTATGACCTGAACACCCAACAATAGCTCTCTAACATCCTAATCCTACCCTTGACCCCTTAACCATAGGCCGAACTTAATCCTATACCCCAACCCATTACCTTTCACTCTAACCTCCAATGCTAAAACCCTAGTTCGAACATCATAACCCTAACCCATGAGCCCTAAACGCTTATCCTGTCTCCCGAACCATATCCCTAAACCCCCGACTCCTAAACCCTAACATTTTGACCCTTCCAGTCTCAATAAATTTCGTATTTTGATACTCAAAGACCCAGAGAACACCCCTCATGGTATTCTTCACCGCGACTCACGAACCTGGCCCATCGTTGTGGGATGTGGGTGACATCGCTGCCAGCTGGCAAAAAAAATATTTTTTACAATACAGTATTGTGCAAAATGATACGCAAAATATTTCATCATCCTTGACTTTATATAACAACTTACTTAACGTACACAGTATGTGGCGTGATGAAAACTCAACGCGTATTCAAATCCGTTACGTTTCCAGAAATCGTTCGCTCCCTTCTAAATGTTTATGTGGCTACGTACGAACCGAACGACCGCTACCCAGCGCGAGCCATCACATTTGGATTTACGGCACACTCAATGCATCGCAGCCACACAGTTACCGCATTTGCAGTCGCGTGAAATGGACACGCATTTTAACCTTAATTGCAACGGCGAATAATTCGCTGCCGCTTCGTGTACGCTCGCGCGCGCGCGTGTGCGCGCGTGCGTAAGTATAATTGCGGAAATTATTTTGGGAGGTGCTTTATTTTTCACCGCTGGGTAATGTGCTCCAAATTCTCGGGGTGCTGTGGGCAATATTTATTCATACCTGTTTACGTGTGCGCACACATGTTGGTTTACAAATTGGATTTGAATAAATTAAGGAGAGGGCATTTTTTTTTCCGCGGTGCAAACGTCCGCGCGCGTGCGTGTACGTGGAACTTCTTTGTCACCAATCTTGATTTGAAGCTTTCGTGACTGCAGAAATCCATACTCTTTGGTTATTTTGGTAAAGTCACGTAGGTAGAAAAATAAAATAAAAAATTATATACAGGGTGTTTTAAAAAGATGGACCCGATTTGAAATCGCTATATCTCTGCAACCACGAACCGCCCATGAATGAAACGCTTACCACTTGAAAGGGCGGGGCATAGAGAGGGCGGGGCATGGAGAGGGCGGGGCATGGAGAGGGTGGGGCATGGAGAGGGCGGGGCATGGAGAGGGCGGGGCATGGAGAGGGCGGGGCATAGAGAGGGCGGGGCATAGAGTTTCAAATGATTACCGCTAAATGCCTCTCCCAGCGCACAAACAGTCCCCAGCCTCAGTCATTCACAAGACAACACTGCCTCAACATTGGATAGGTCGCACGGGACCCTAAGACTTGGCGCTACACTCTTGGCCCCCAAGATCACCCCCAGACATCACCACACCCTGCGACTTTTTCTTGTGGGCATACGTCAAAGACCGTGTTTTTGTGCCACCATTAGCGACTAATCTGGATGACCTCAAAAACAGAATCACGGCAAGCGGTGACTTCAGTGGAAGAAGACACTTTGAGAGGCGTTTGGGACGAATTCAACTATCATCTCGATGTTCTCCGTACAGCAGATGGAGGACACATAGAGCATTTATAAAATGGCTAGTAAAACGTGATAACTCATTAAACCGTTTGTAACTTTTTGTGTAATTGTAACATGTTGCCATCGTGAAATATACTGCTTTGAAATTTGGTCCATCTGTTTTGAAACACCCTGTGTCACGACGTTTCGATTGCAACACAAGCGATCGTCCTCAGGCGGAAAAAAACAATGCAGCAGTAGAAGTGCTGAATCAGGAAGAACACAGCGAGAGAGCTGCTACAACAAGAGGTTATTTACGCTATTGTCACCGTACGTAGCCAATCAGGGGCGCCTTGGAAGGACAACAAACTGAACACAAAAAGCAGTTCTAAAGAAATCGAGATTTTCAGTCTACACTTTAAAATGAACGTCGCGTTGTATAATGAACCGTATGAAAATGAGAATGGATTGCGCTCAGGTCTGGAGGGAGTTTGGCAGAGGCCCATGTCGTGAGATTATTGAAGCAGAATTAGAATTAATGGAGTTGACCTGTTTTGAGCTTTGATACAGAATTGTCCAAGAATGTGTTTGGTTCCCCAAGTGGGCATTTCTTTTCCCCTCTCTTAAAGATACATTTTGGTGTGGCGAGATAATGCTGCGTCGTTTCATTTGTGTTTTCAACGACGTACAGTATATTGAGCGGTAAGGGGGGGAAAAAACAAACAGCTCACGTGGAATCAAAGGAACGGGGACACGTGTGGGAAAACAATGAGTGCCCCGTTTCTGACCAGGTAAATCCCACTGAGCCAGTGGTGTCGATGATGATGATGGTGGTGGTGGTGATAGTGATGATGATGATGATTGCAATGATGGCAGTAATGCTTTCATAAGGGTTCAGGGCGTTCATCATTTCTCTTCTGTCGTTGACTCGAACGCAGATGCTTTTGTACCATTTTCTCCTCGTGATTTGTTCTCTCCCTCGTGATTTTCTCTCAGTCATGATTTTTTTTCTCTCCCTCGTGATCTTTTCTCTTCGTGATTTTTTTCTTCTCTGTCGTGATTTTTTCTCTCCCTCGTGATTTTCTCTCAGTCATGATTTTTTTCTCTCCCTCGTGATCTTTTCTCTTCGTGATTTTTTCTTCTCCGTCGTGATTTTTTCTCTCCTTCGTGATTTTCTCTCAGTCATGATTTTTTCTCTCTCCCTCGTGATCTTTTCTCTTCGTGATTTTTTCTTCTCTATCGTGATTTTTTCTCTCCCTCGTGATTTTCTCTCAGTCATGATTTTTTTCTCTCCCTCGTGATCTTTTCTCTTCGTGATTTTTTTCTTCTCCGTCGTGATTTTTTCTCTCCTTCCTGATTTTTTTCTCTCCTTGATTTTTTTCTCTCCCTCGTAATTTGTTTGTCTCCCTCGTGATTCTTTTCTCTCTGTGATTTTTTTCTCTTCATTATTTTTGCTCTCCGTTATTTTTTTTGTTTCCCTCGTGATTTTTTCTCACTCGTGATTTTTATTCTCTCCCTTGTGAATTTTTCTCTCCTTCCTGATTTGTTCCCTCCTTTCTCATTTTTTTCTCTCCTTCGTGATTTTTTTTGTCTCCCTCGTAATTTTTTTGTCTCCCTCGTGATTTTTTCTCTCCGTGATTTTTTCTCTCCATTATTTTTGCTCTTCGTGATTTTTTTGTCTCCCTCGTGATTTTTTCTCTCACTCGTGATTTTTATCCTCTCCCTCGTGAATTTTTCTCTCCTTCCTGATTTGTTCCCTCCTTCCTCATTTATTTGTCTCCTTCGTAATTTTTTTGTCTCCCTCGTGATTTTTTCTCTCACTCGTGATTTTTTTATCTCTCTCGTAATTTTTTCTCTCCTTCCTGATTCTTTCTCTACCTCGTGATTTTTTTCCTTCTCCCTCGTAATTTTTTTCTCTCCTTCATGATCTTTCTCTACTTCGTGAAGATTTTCTTCTCCCTCGTGATCATTTATCTCCCTCGCGATGTTTCTCTCCTTCCTGATTTTCTCTCTCTCTTTTTCCCTCCCTCGTGATTTTTTTCCTCTCGCTGGTGACTTTTTAAATGTGATTAAAATGTATTTTTTCTTATATATATATTTTTTCTTAAGATTTGTTTTTCCATTGTGTCGAGAAGTGAGCCAGCCTTTAACCCCAGGCTGGCCCCCAGTTTCTCGACTGCACGAGTGCCAGCCGCTCATCGGTTTCGCCTCATCTAGGCCGCTCCGATGTTCAATTTGTTTGTCTTTGATTAAAACGCAGGCTCTCGTTGGCAACGCGAGCGCAAACAAATTGGCGATGTTGCTTCGCGCTTAAATATTCGCGTATTCACCGATTCTTGAAATTTGCTTCATTGCAGTAATAGTCTCGGAGAGGGGCTGAGCTCGTCGCAAACCAATGACGAGGTGTTGAAACCCCAGTAGATAATCGATTACGGTAGATCATCGATTACAGTAGATAATCGATTACGGTGGATAATCGATTACGGTAAATCGTCGATTACATTAGATCGTCGATTACGGTAGACCATCGATTACGGTAGATTATCGATCATCTGGTGGCGTCGGGGGGGGGGGTGGGGGGGGTGAAGAGGGCGCCGGATTTTCTATTTAAAATATAAAATGTTTGCACAAGCTTGTAAAACGTTATGTTTTTGTAGGTGTTGTGTATAGAATTTTTTGCGTGTTTAAAATTTGTTTACTATGGGCAATTGGCATAAATGTACATACAAATAGACAAACATACTGTCAAAGGTTACTTTTATTTACTGTACCGTACTTATAACCTCCAATCTCGACGACTCTGCATTATGGGGTGATGCACGTAGTACTGCCTAGGGGCCGTCCATAAATGACGTCACGCACCTGGGGGGGGAGGTCAGACATTTGTGACGATGTGTGACGAGGGGAGGAGGGGTTTTGAGAAATGTGACGTCACATTCAAATGCGCAACTTTAAATAAATATAGACCACACGTTCTACTTAATTGAATAGACTTTTTATTAAATGTTTTCTCCTACAACATCAGAGTGCAGCGCCACATTAAATACGCGCTACAATGACAATAGTTTAAAGCGATTTGAAGCATGTTTTTTTTGGGGGGGGGGCAGAGGTTTGTGACGTCATATTAGAGGGGGGGTCTGACCT